TATCACCACAGAGCTTTGAATACCTTTTTATCTATAGAATATCAGTATCAATTATTGCCTTCAGCTGTCAGAAAATCACAGCAAAACTGTCGCTCTTGTATTTATGATCTGGCATAGAGAGTGGCATGCATGCGTAGGTATATTTATAAACTGGACAGCTGATGGATAAATAAATGTTATTGAGTGATATACCCAATGCTTTCTTGTTAGCCAGAGGCTCTTCAGCATTATTCAATGACTCACTTCTCCCAGCGGCCCTAATGTAACTGTACTGTCAAATCCCAACTAAAACTTCACCAACAGGATGGAAATATGATCAGTGTGTTATTGTTTCATTAATAAGATCAGTGGATGAAGGAAGATCACTTATAGAACTCACTCTGAAGACCATGAGTGGTATGAACATGAAGTCTTATAGGAACACTCACTTTATACATCAGTCCATCTGAGTTGACAACAGAGGCTATAAGAATCCCATGCGTTTCCTCCTGCAGGAAACTGGCTAAGTAAGGCAACCTTCCTGTTTTAAAATTCACTTTTCTGCCTAGTCAGTGTGGCTCAGCCTTTGAGCATCAACCTATGAATCAGGAGATCACAGTTCGCTTCCCAGTCAGGGAACATTCCCAGGTTGCGGGCTGGATCCCCAGTTGGGGGCATGCAGGAGGCAGCCGATCAATGACTCTCATCATTGATGTTTCTCTCTCTCTCCCCCTCTCTCTGAAATCAATACAGTCATATTAAAATAAATAAATAAATTTCACTTTTCCAAGGAGCCACTAGGTAGACAAAGTGAAAAAACTCACTGGATGCTTGAACTGGGGCCAGGATCCTAAAGGTTGTGTTCTACTCCAGTGTTTTAATTCTTTTTCAAAATCAGAGATAATACCCTTCTCCCAGCAGGCCTGCTGGCATTCTTTCTAAAAGAATAAGACAGGCAAGATACAAAATACAAAGACCAATCAAAAAGTCATTCTCCTGCCATTCTTGTCTACTCAACACAGTGCTAAATCAGAGTCTATTCTAACCCTTCCTGCTTTTCAGCCCCTGGCCCATGGCAGGATTAATTCAGATGTTAAAGCAGTCAGAACCCTTGGGACACAGAGAAATTTGCCCCCAACCAATAGCTGAGTTCTATTAGCATAACCAGAAGACTACTTAAATGGGAGGAGACCCTCTGACCTCTACTTTATGACCTCCTCTGGGCTGTTATGGTGGGCCATGAGCCCAGCCATAATCCTTACCTCTTTTGAGGAAGGTTCAAAGGGAAGACTCATCAATATTTCTTTCATTTTGCTTCAAATATGCATTGTTTCTAGACAAAGATTTCCCTTAAGAATTTTGCAAGCATAACATCTTACCAATACTTATTTTCTCATTTGGGAAATACTCCATAAGTATTATAATGTGCTCAATAGTCCTAGTTTATTAATTTCATCTCTTCCCCCCAAGAAAAATGGGGGGGAAAATAAATGTGAAAAGTAAACTGAAAATCAGGGAGTCTTTTGTGTTACTAAAGGGAAATGAAGCCAAGGATCTCGCCGATACTTCTCATTTTTCAGAGATTGAGACTGAGGCTCAGGGCTGGTGTGATTTACCTGGCCACAGGCTAGTTAGTGAGAGATCAGAGAGAATTTCCACTCCACACATGCTGTGCCAGCATTGCTCACAAATTCTAAGTGTAGGGCAGATTTGGAGCATCCCATCCCCCAACACCATCACAATGTCAACTTTCACTCCCCAAAAGAATCATTTGCATCAGTTAAAGTATTAACTAGGTCTAAAAGAGAGAGGTCTACACTAGTGAGATGTGGGTCACAGCCCAGGAGACCAGGTTTCCCTCGCCAGCCTGCTTTGCATTTTCTCTCAGCTCAGGATCTGAACAGAAAGAACAGACTGGTGGAGATCCATGTCCCTGTTTTCCTCTCTGTTTCAAGAGCCACAGGACTGTGCAGTTTCTTTCTCTGGGAAGGAGCTGCTGTATGTTTTTCTTTTCACTTTTATTTTTATTTATTTTTTTATTGATTTCCGATAGAGAGGAAGGGAAAGGGAGAGAAATATCAATGATGAGAGAGTCATTGATCGACTGCCTCCTGCACACCCCCCACTGGGGATCGAGCCTGCAACCCAGATATGTGCCCTGACCTGGAACTGAACTGTGATCACCTGGACCATAGGCCTATGCTCAACCTCTGAGCCACATCGGATGGGCTTGTTTTTATTTTTTGACTGGCTTTTAAATTGTTTCCTATCATTACAACAGCTACCAGATATCATGTGCATGCTGAGTGCCACCCCTGAGCTCGCTTTCGACATGTATCAGCTCAGGTAATACTCAAGGACACCCTGTGAGGTGGGAACATTATCCTCTCCATTTCACAAATGAAGAATATGAGGCTCAGGAGAGACTGCGTAACTTCTCCAAGCTCTGAATTCGGGTCTGAGTAAGGGCAAAGACCACGATCTTATCAACTACCCTGAGTTCCAGTTCTTCTGGGTTTGGTTCTACCCTACCTGATCCAGAGTTTCTCCAGTGGGCAAACGTTTCTTTTTGATAGTGACCTGCAGGGTTCCTGGCCAGTGGCAGGTCACCTTCAGCTCTGAGAACTCCCTTTCCAGGCATTTATGAAAGTTTAAGGCTATTCTTTCCATATTTACTTTTTATGACTGGGATTTGGGATTCAGCTTTGGAAAGGTTTATCCATCCTTCAAAATGCAATATTCAAAACCCAAACCCCAGGGCTGCGTGGTTTGTATGTACATTCATTTATGCTAACAGTCCCATTGATGAGTGGATTCCTGTGACTTCCAAACAGCTATCAGAGCCCTCTAGACAAGGGCGAAGATCCTCAAAACAGCACCCTCTAGAGGAAGAACAAGTTTCCCCATCCTGCCCACCCAAGCTGGACTTCCAGGCATGGACTGCCCTTATACCCCTCTACAAAGCCTATGGTTTAGCCAGTATTCACCCAAACCAAAGGCTTAAACTGAAGCAAATGCCATCATAAATAACCAAAGACAACCAATGGGCTTTTTACAGTGTCCCCAGCTTAATATAAAGATGAGAACTGGAACAGATTGTTTTGGAAGGCTTAGTGTAGAGCCATAATGTCTTTTAGTAGGATTAGGTGTGGCATCCAACATGCTATAAATTTCCATTACTACTTAATTAATAATCACTACATCAGTGTGCTCTTCTTGGAATGCCCATGAAAGTAAACTGACCGAGCCCCATGATTTCTTAGACTCTCTTTCACTGCACAAGTTTGGCCCCTCAACCCCCACCATGGGTAAGAGAGTCTGATTTAGACCTGAGCACTGATGGGACTGCCGTGCCCGGGGCGTGCACAAGTGAGGTTGACCTTTTGCCTTGAGCTGCCTTCCCCCACTTTCTCTAAGTCCAAACTGACAATTAGTAAATTCTGAAATTTCAGACTTTATAGGAATTTGTAAACATCATAACAAAGAGAATCTTTCATCTGAACACTGTTATAAATGGTCTCACTTTAAGCTTTTATGCCTTTTACTCTCCTGAATACTTAGGAGATCCCTCCACTGTGTGTGTACAGGTGATCACAGTTTGGGGTAAAAAAGCGAAGGTTAGAAGCTGTTCATCTAGTACTTAATGGCAACAAGAGCTCAAGGGAAGGTGTGCTAATGAGAAAGCAGATGTGTGCTGATGAGGCAAATGATCAATCTCAAAGTATGTTTGAAATACCAATACTTGGATTTATGTCAGCAGAGAATTTAGGCCTGCTTGCAAGAGAAAGAGTGGGCTCCAGAGACTTCCTATCTAAAGTCAACTTTGGAAAAAGCAGGATGGTGCTTACCTTTACTTGAATTATTGAGATAATTGCCACAATACTGGGTTTCCCCAGCTCTGCGGAATGTGTAACAGGCAATGTATGTCACTTGTCAGACCAGAACGCTGTTTCTACAGTGACCTGATATGCCTCGAGGCCACAGTTAGTTTCACATCAAAACTTAAAGGTTAATTCTGTTAAAAAATCACCCAGGTGAGGTTTTCAGGTGCAAATTTATGCACAGACACGCCACATGTGTCCACACTTTACGGATTACTAATTCTGTGGTTCATGGGGATTCTAAAAAATCAGGGCAAAGTGCTATGAATTTACTTATTGAGGACATATTGTCTCACATAGTGGGAGGTGCTCAGGCTTACTGGAATCGTAACCACCTCTAAAACTCTGACCACACCCTGAAGATCTCAGCTGATGGCTGCCACTAAAGGTCCCCAGCTCTAAAAACACACATGGAGTCCTCCTTTAGGGGCAACACACCCTTAAGCTGTGGCTTGTCACAAGCAAAACCTACAGTGGAGAGAATTAAGGCTGTACTTGATTGCAAGCTCCCTGAAGGCAGGACTGTGTCTCACCCTGGAGTCAGGGCCCCCATTTGTGTTTACTCTCTTGTACACTGTCAATTTCACAGGTACACAATCAGCACCCAGTAAGGTCCCAACACCATCCCAGTCAGGCAGGCCCGTCCAGTGGGACCCTGCATCGTACTGTGCTTTGTCTGCTGAGTCCTAGCATACAAGCATCCCAGCAAGCATTCTACAGGCTCCCAGGCTTCTGGGGGTTCAGAAACGCTACAGATCAGCTAAATGGTTTTTTATCTTTTTATAAGTGATCTGACGACAAAATTGGTTCCTGTGAATCATCTACATCCATTTAAAAAGTACTGCTTATGCCCTGGCCAGGTTTGCTCAGTGGTTAGAGCATCAGCCCTCAGATTGGAGGGTCCAGGGTTCAATTCCGGCCAAGGGCATGTACCTAGATTGCAGGCTTGATCCTTGGCCTTGGTTGCGGCTTGAGCCGGATCGATGTGTCTCACATCGATGTTTCTTTCTCTCTCCCTTCCACTCTCTGCAAAAAGCAATGGAAAAAATATCCTCAGATGCGGATTAAAGGAAAAAAGTAATGCTTGTGTCTTTTTTTTTACGAAAGCTAAAGATTGGGGCTGTTTTTGTTTTTCCCCAGGAAAACCTCTTCTTTGTGATGGAATTTCTCAACGGAGGAGACTTGATGTACCACATCCAGAGCTGCCACAAGTTTGACCTTTCCAGAGCCACGTAAGAGCCCTCTAAAGGGCTTGGGGTTTTCCATTGCTCTTAGCAGTTTCTATGTCCCCTCAGTGCCCACAGAATACTCTCTCTTTCCCTGTGGCATTTTCGTTTCCTCACCCAGCACGGCTAACTCCCAGGACAAGGTAACCCCGAGAATATGTCACACGAGGCAACCGTGTCCCCAGTTTGAAGCTTACCTTCTTCTCAGTTTTATCTAATTTCTCTGTTTTTGAAATCAACAAGTTAGTTTTTCAAGGAGATGCCCCAATGCCTCAGGCTTCTAAATGATATGAGCATGGAAAAAAATGTTTGCCCTTTGTAAAGAAAGCAGCCGAATGGAGCACAGATCTTAAAGGCGGTCACGGGATGGAGCTTCAGCCCAGGCCTTTCATGGAAAGGTCAACGTGAGCCATAAAGCATGTGGCTCCCGGGCATGAGAATTAGGAAACCGGGAGGGGCACTTAGTCTGAGAATAAACCTTCACCTTCTTGGGCAACACTGAACGCCAGCAAAGTTGAACAGGCTGCTGGTGGGACTGCAGCTGAGGGCCCCCTGTCACTCTTCATCCCCAGCCCCGTGGGCCCTCTTTCCTGAGTGGTAAAACCACAGTGACATTAAAAAAAAAATGCCACCAGGTCCATTTAAAAGTGCTGGGTACAGACTGGCTTTATTTCTTCAATCCTCTCTCACTCGCCCTTCAGTGCTTTGAGTGGCTGAGTGTGAGCTGAGTTGAAAGATGGCCCTGTTCCCCAGCTCCTGCAGAAACCTTGCTGCGATGGCTGTTTTGTGAGATCCAGTGAGTCACACACTGCTGATCTCGTGGCCTCCAGGAGCCATCCGAACACTACCCAGAGATAACTGTGTGGGGTATCCACAGCAGAGAAACCATCAGGCATTTTCCACATTGGAGAGGATGCACTCAGTCCAGCTCCCTGCCCGCCCTGTAAGCATGCGAGCCGTCAGATGGGTGCTGTCCTGTTTGCCCTCACTGCCCCCCCCCCCGGGGGGAGGTGTTTGCATTCCTCCCTGGGGTCAGCAAACCTCTCTTCCAGGAAGTTCTCCCCTATCCCTAGCTTTAGTCCCACGGCTACATTCAGATTCATCTCCTCTCTGTCCCTGAAGATGGAGAGCCCCGTGTCACCTCCCATCTTTCATCCCCTTTCCTCCCTCTTCAGGCTCTATTTCTTGCACAGGAACAAGTCAGTTCTATTGGGAATGACCCTGCATACAGGTCTAAGGGCTCCAAGCAGAGTTTAAAATAAAAGGGAAAATTACTTTCCTATTATACTATACTATTACGTTTAATGTTTGTGTATGTTTTATTAGGAAAAAAAAGTGATAGTTTGAGCACTGTCCTTTAAAATATAAGAATGAGCACCTGCTGCAGGTAGGACTAACTTAGGGTACCAGCTCTGCTTCATTCTCTCAGGGACGACAGCTTCCTTTTGAAATGGTGTGCACACACGAAATGATGTGTGTGCACACAAAACACAAAGGTGCATGTGCACATTCAGCAGAGGACTGCACAGGGCACTCCCTGGATAAAATGTGGGTTTGGTTTTGTTCTACTGATGCATTCATGGTGAACCCTGACTTTCCTTCCCTCAGGTTCTATGCTGCTGAAATCATTCTTGGTCTGCAGTTCCTTCATTCCAAAGGCATTGTCTACAGGTAAATTTTACCTCTGAGACAAATACTGCACTCGCTGTGTTTCCTGGCCTGGTTAATGTAATCACTGTGCTTAGTGCCATGAAATGCCCAGGGTGTTTTTGGGGCAGAAAGTTTCACACCCAGGCTTCCTGCCCATGCTGATAACACGGATGATGGTTTAATAGCAACCGAGTAAGAAATTCCAGTCTCAAGAGCAATAAGGTTCTGATCTTATTTTGTTCTTTATTCTGGTCCTGACTATTTCTCTTCTCTCCTCCATTGTTCTCATTCCTTCCAGTACTCTGCTTTCTTTCTCTTTGACATCTTGCTGCTTTCTCAATTCCGTCTCCCGCATCTCGTTTTTGCCTGTATTTGCTTTGGGACACCTAGAAATGTTGATCGAATGGTCTCCTTTTGGGTGGGGGAGGAGGGGAGAGGGGAGGAGGGGAGCTCTCCCCGAACACTCAGATGCACCGATGGAAACCTATAAGGTTACACCTTGTAGAAGTGCACAGAACAGCCCTGTAGCCTCTTTTGTGAGCCGATGTCCAAAATTTCTCCACTGTACACCATCATTTCACATCCTTCTTAGGTGAAAGCCACTGTACTTCAATCTCCTTACTTCTTTCCTCAAAACATAGTTGACACTTATTTAACATACCAACCCTCAAAAGCTTACTTGACTGGTTTCTGACTCACTGAAGATTAAGAGGAAAAAGTAAACTTAAAATAAGAAAGGAGCTAGGCAGGAGACTGGCTGACCTGCTGGAGGCCAGCACAGCGAAGCGGTGAGAGGGGACAGTTGAAAACCTGACATAAAGGGAAGACGCAAGACAACTAAAAGGATCCAGGAGAGTAGGATCATGTGCTCTTCTGGGGAATGTTCACAATCCGACCTGAGGTCGTCAATAAGGGTTAAGTGATGGCCCACATGGACTGTTGACGTCAGCAGCTCTGTGTAATCCAGTCCAGACGCTTCCCTCAGGGATGGTTCGTACTGAGCCCTGGTACTCACGGAGTTGCTGACAATCCGCCCCCGGTGATCTCTCTCCTTCCAGAGGTGCAGCCAGGGGAGGGCTGCCCTGTTTAGAGTGATGAGACCACCCCTCACATGGCAATCCTAGTTTAACAAACTTGTAATTATTAAAGTGAGGTTTTGCTTTGCTTCTGTTTTCCAGGGACCTGAAGCTAGATAATATCCTGTTAGACAAAGATGGACATATCAAAATAGCGGACTTTGGAATGTGCAAGGAGAACATGTTAGGAGATGCCAAGACAACCACTTTCTGCGGGACCCCTGACTACATCGCCCCGGAGGTAGGGATGGCTGTGCAGCGCCCCTTCCCAGCCCAGCATGCCCCGGGCCGAGCACCACTGCTCCACCCTCCCTGAAAATCAGAACATTTTAAGTATTTTGGTTCAGGATTTGAATTTGTTTTTCTGAGTATTGCATAATTACGGCCACACATAGGGGCTGCTGTTATTATTTTATGGGGAATGGTACTCATGCTTAATTAGATCATCTCTCCAACACTTGAATGGCACCGCAGGTCCTTTCAGTCATGGCTCCTCCCCACCCCCAGCCTTAAAATACCTTCACTCTGCTCAGGCCCACCAGAGAAAACAATGGGAAGAACCAGGTGGGCCCTGAGCAGGATCGTAAGCAACTGCCTGAGTAAGTCCAGAGGCATCATTCTGAGACCAGAAAAGCCTACAGTGTGGTTTCTGAGCTGCCACTGTGTGAGCATGGAGAGATTGCTGGCGTGCACTGATGTGTTCCCTCTTCTGGGAAATGAGGACAATACTTATGTCACATGTTACTGCAAAGTTAAAAACAACAACAACAACAAAAACATTCTAAGCCCCCAGAAGAACCGCATTTGCTCCGAAGGCATCCATCCATCCAACCCTTCCCTCCTCGCTCCTTGTTACGGAGTCGCGCCAGCTGCCACCCCGGGGCGATCAGTTTCCCCCTACGGTGCAGCCTTTCCCATTGCGTAACACTTACCATCACTGCTATTTTATCTTTGGATCTCCCTGCACTGCTGGCTGATTGCTCTAAAGTCAGGGGCTGTCTTCTTCTCTTTTCGGTAACTTCTTACTTTGAAATAATTACAGATTCACAAGATGTTGCAAAAATAGTACAGAAACGTCACCCATATATACCCTTCACCAGTTTGCACCAATGGTTACATCTGGTATAACTGTGGTACAGTCAAAAGCAAGAAATTGATATTGGTACACGGTGTGTATAGTTCTACACTATTTTGTCACATGTAGATTAGTGTGATCTTAATCACTTGTCTATCCAAGGACCCAGTTCAGTGCTTGGCACATTAGGTGATAATAAATAACCTTTGGGATGAATGAACAACCATATTAACAAGTGTGTGGTGATGGTTGTTTGATAGACAGTGTCGGACCTCTGATTTCCTGGGTAAAACAAATTTAGAGCAAATCCCTGTCATTGCCAAAGGAACCGAGGCATCCCGACTCTAAGAAACATGTGGCTTTTCCCTGTGCTGATGTGGTATTTGATTTTGATTTAACCTTGTTTAAATGCAAGATTGGCCTCCGGTCAAAAAGAAATTACCACTTTTAACTTTCCTGTCTACGAATGCCTTACGCTACTTCCTCTCCTTGGATCCTTCTTTCCTCTACATCTTCCAGATCTGGCTTCGGCGACTTCTGTCTGTGTAACTTCAGTCCCTTTCTCTCGTCTCACCTGATTCCATTATTGGTTCCTCTTTTCTTCCTACTGTATATTCTCCAGGAGCAACTGTATTTGTGATTGTAGTTTTAACTCCAACATCAGTATGGCTGGGCCAAACTACTTCTTGCTCTGGACTCATACGTCCCTGTTCCTGTTTGAAATTTCCAATTAACTGTCACAGGCCATTCAAACAAAATAGGTCCCAAACTCCTTTCTCTGTTGAACTTGCCCCACCCCACCTAGCCTTCTCCTTTCTTGGCTAATTGTCACACACACCCATCCATCCAGTCACCCAGCCAGGACGCTAGGACTCATCCAAGTTCCCTCCTTCTTTCTTACCCCTCCCAAATCCAGGCACTAAGACCTTCTAAATTTAGGCCTCGGGGACTTCTCAGTCTATTCTCCCCTCCCCAATCTTGTGACTGAATTAAGAATGTCCCTTGATTCCTTCCCAGCCCTCAGAATGAATCCCTTTGCTTCAATCCCCCATACTTCTCCAATTCCTTCCCAGTCCTTACTGTTGGTACCCCACTCCAGGCCCTGGGCATCTTTTGTCTGGACCCCAGCGATGCCTGGTTTTCCTCTCCATCACCATCCAACTGATAGTACATCTTCTTTATATATTTTCAAACTTCTGACCTGCCCCCTCATCCTTTAAAAAAAGCATCCCAGGATACATATACTTATTATATCTGAATCATACACTTTTGCCAATATAGCCTGTGTGTTATAACACATGCATAGAAAGAAATATAATCAGGTTGAACTGAGGATGCAATAGTTTTAAATAACTAAATTTTATTATAGTTATTAATAGCACAAACATATTTGTGCTTCATTAAAACAAGAGTAAATAACCAAAAGACCAGGCTTCAGAACATAGTTTTCAACACACTAACTAGGTGACCTCAAGTAAAACATGTAACCTCCCTCAGTCCAATCACTTCCTTTGTTGGTGATAACAGGGCCTACCTCCGAGGCTCTTATAAATAAAACATACCCTGTATGGAAAACCCTAACACATATCAGCAAGCATTTGCGGGCATTCTGTTTTAACAGTATGTAATTGAGGACGAATCTACATTTTTTCTCCCTAACTTAAGATTGAAATTCTTCGTTAACATCACCAAGCCTTAGATGACTTAATTTCCACCACAGCTGTCTCCTGTCCTCCAAATTTCTTTTCATTTTTCCTGCCAAATAAGGTTGTTTACAAAGATGTGATGCTCCAGGGGTTTCTGGCTGCTTGGGGCTCCCCCTCGTGGCAGACCCTGGGAATTGCGTGTGAACCAGGCCCCACTAAAGTCAAATTTACCTGAACTGATTGTGCCTGTGTGCACGCCTTCATTTTCTTTATCATTCTCCCCGGGTCTACTTTTAGATTATTCCTTACAGAAACATTTATTTTTTCTAAACTTTAAAGTGAACTTTAGCATTTCAATATTGAGCTAAGGCTAGTGGATAGCATTTTATACTGGAAGTCAGCAGCAGATTGCAAAATTCTGTTTGCAACTTGATCTTTTTGTTAATCTTCACCCAAGGATTTTTTTCCCATTGACTTTGAAAGCGAGTGCAAGGGAGGTAAGGAGAGGGAGAGAGGCATCTATGTCAATTGGTTGCCTCCCCCACGTGCCCCAATGAGGGCGGGGGTTCAAACCTGCAACCCAGGTACATGCCCCTGACGGGGAATGGAACCCACGACCCTTGGGTGTGCTGAGCCACACGGGCCAGGTACCAGTTCATCAAGGCAGATATTTATCATACAGCATATCGTCATTTCCATATGGCAAAGTACTTTGTCTTTCCTACTTTTCACTGGAGCCTCACAACAACCCATGATAAACTACTCGGTAAGGGACTAAGCCAGAAGTAGAACCTGCAGCATTCTGTTTGGCCTTCACGGCTGTCTTGTTGTTGTTTGTTTAATAAGCCTTATGTTAGAGAAAATTTCACAGTATGTCTGAGGCTCACTCCAAGTTGCCTCATTTCGCAAGGACAGGCTTGAGGTCAGGTAGGGGTGGGAGATGGACACTATGCACATTACTCTCTGCATCAAAAAGTTCACCGGCATCAAGACATGCAGCTTTCCTAGAAAATACTGAAATGTCTAGAGCTGTAGTGTCATTTTCCTTTACTAAGCCCATCTGTACTATAGTTCTACCATTCATTCCAAAGGCCCATTTACAAAGGGGGAAGTTCCATCTCAAATAAGGAATGCTACAGTAAAATGACCTTGGTGTGTTTGTGTGTGGCTCACAGGTGAGCTAAGCCTTAAATTGCAGCGTGGAAAGGATGGCCATCCCAAGAGGGTCCCAGTCTTGCTTTGTAAACTTACTATTTCTGTACTAGTATCCCTTCTCCATTTTGTTTTGGGTGATAAAGCAGCTTCCCCAAAACCATCCTGGCAGCAGCAGTCATGAAAGACAGGATTTTCTCTACTCCAGTTAAAATTGTGCTCCTACTATGTACTGATTTTTTTTAAAGAACAGTTTCTTGATTTTTAGAAAGAGAGGAAGGGAGATGGAGAGAGGAGCGTCGATGTGACAGCTCCTCCTGCACACCCACCTCTAGGGATCAAGCCTGCAACCTGGGCATGTACCCTGACTGGGAATCAAACCAACAACCTTTTGGTGCATGGGATGATACCCAACCAACTGAGTCAGGGCTGTGTGCTGATTTTCATTGTAAAATATACATACCATAAAATATAGGAGCTTAACCATTTTTAAGAGTATAATCAGTAGTGTTAAGTACATTCACATTGTTGTGCAACTTATCTCCAGAACTTTTTCATCTTGCACATCTGAAACTTTATACCTATTAAACAACAACATCCCATTTCCTCCAGCCCCTAGAAACCATCATTTCATTTTCGGTCTCTCTGATGTTGACTACTCTAAGTACCTTATGTAAGTGGAACCGTGCAATATTTGTCTTTTTGTTACTGGCTTATTTCACTTATCACAATGTCCTCAGGTTGCCCATGTTGTATCATGCGTCAGGATTTCTTTCCCTTTTAAGGCTGAATAACATTCTACTGTATATGTAAACCACACTGTAATTATCTATTCATCCACTGATGGACCCTACTGTTTTAGAGAAGGTTACAGCATGGTCTATGGGGATGAAAAGCATTGAGCAAAGTAACATGTGCACTCTCTATGTTCCAACATTTAAAAGGAAGTTGCTGAAAGGCCCGAGTACAAAGCCTTTGCTGCGAGAAAGTGGATTGGTAAAAGGGTAGAAATCTTTTTTAAAATCAGGTGGGATTCCAGACTTTTAATCTCCTTCCCTTAAGAATAGACCAGACCAGATCTACTCAAAGCACAGCTATCAAGGTATACATAGCGCTTCCAGATCCAATATTTGAACAGGTTGGTATCCTAGTCTATCTCTTGGCATAGTCACAAGATTTGACTCTCTTAGTTGTAAACCATGACTAGTTAGGAACTAAGGAATGGACTTGTTCAGATGACCTCTCTGGATGTTTGATTACCTACAGAAACTTTATGCAGAAACTCAGGAGAGTAGAAGTAAAATATATGGGTTTAGCGAGTCACCTCAGAGGCACTGGAGAGCTGGGGTAGATACCAGCTTTCTTAGGTCTGAATCGACGCCTAGGCCCTCACATCACAGATGGGAAATGAAAGCTAATGACACTCAGAGTTCAGTTGTTTCTCTCAAGGCCAGAGGAAAAGTAGAAATTGAAACTCAAAAATGTTTGTTCAATTTTAGCCCACTCATTTGAATCCAATCATTAGTATCTCAAAAGATACCGTTTTCACCGTGATCTTTGTTCAAACTACATACTACTATCATCACCATCAGTTATTTACTGAGTAGCCTTGAAAAAGCCATGCAAGGTGTTCACTCATCAACCTCACTTTTATTCATTACATCTCCGCCTTTTGGTCACACAGATCCTGCTGGGTCAGAAATACAACCATTCTGTTGACTGGTGGTCCTTTGGCGTTCTCCTCTATGAAATGCTAATTGGTCAGTCACCTTTCCACGGGCAAGATGAAGAAGAGCTGTTCCACTCCATCCGCATGGACAACCCCTTTTACCCACGATGGCTTGAGAAGGAGGCTAAGGACCTTTTAGTGAAGGTAAGAAATGAAGTCGTGGAGACTTCTTCAGGTTAGTATTAGGTTTTCTGATCAGTATTCCCATTCACTTCTAAACTCGGATTTATACATGGTAGAGGAAACAATAATTGTATGGAACCGAATTTAAATGGAATGCTCACCGTCTCTGCTTAACTGAGGCACCAATGTGATGGACATTAGATAGCAATAAACCCTCATGTGCATAATTTACAAAAGAAATGTCCAGGAACCACTTCCAATGACTTTTGGATGCCCTCACTTTGAGATGTAATTAGTCCATTGAACAAGCATAATTTGTGGCTTAAAACTCAACTTTTGTTTCCCCATAGTCCCTATTAAATCTATTCAGTCCAGCTCATCTTCCCTTGCCCCTGGTTGAAAACTTAGACAGGATGCATGACTTTTCTGCTCATTCTTAGGTTAAAAGAAAAACCACTTGTTACTGTTAAGTCATAAAACACCACCTCAAATGAGAAATTAAAACTGTTCAGCCCAAGGCATAAGTCATCACATCACTATTAACTCTAAAGCAAAGACTCCTGCTCCCTCTCCTCTGCCCAAGTTCCTGCCTGGCAGCATTCACCTTTGGAGAAGGGAGTGTGGTCATACTGTGTGTCTTTGTTCACTTCCTCTCCTGCTCTGGAGTTTCTGTTTCAGACCGTATCAGCTTAAAAGCAGGGAGAGGGTGGAGGAGAAAAAATAAGGAGAAAAAAACTGTTCTTATACGGCTGGGTGGCTTCATGCTTTTTCAATTTGGTAGGTTGTTAAAGCCAAGACTTTGGTGATGCATCCTATTAGGGTTTGGGAAATCCCTACCACTGGAGACATTTTTGGCTGAAGCCCTTGAGGTGAAGGCTGTTCAATGCATTCCCCAGCCCGGCTCTTGTACCAAATCCTAATTCAGCTGCACTACATCCCACTGGGACTTCCCCTGCTCATTGCCTGCTGAGCAGTGTTTCCTAGGCAGACCAGCTCCCTGCCACATCCCTTTCCTGTGTCCCCTGGAAATCTGATAGTTTTCACCCTAAAATTCAAAGAGTACATACAGGCTGTCACCATCTTAGCAGCAATCTCCAGAATTCATCAACAACTCAGGAGTCAATGTACAATGCTACAGATGTGAACTTGACTCTGAGAATCACTAGCCATGAACCAGGAGCTCACAGGACAAACCAATATGGAGACAGGAGCAGCACCTGGGAGCCATCATTAAAGATTGGGACTTTATGCAGAGTCCCAGTTTACCTTTTTTGAGGATGCAAGATACCATCTACAGTATATTACTGTAACAAGTTGTAAATACTGAAAATAAATCATGGCAATACAACATGCTGATTACAGGTAATAATAATCACCACCTACATTTACTGAGCCATCCCAGCAACTCTCTGGATCAGAGGCTAACAAATCTAAAAGAAGTAGACCAAAAATACAGGTGTTTTGAACAAAACAGTGTTTTGATTTCTGGCATCTCAGATCTCAACTAGCTAAAAAAAAAATCATTTAGGGAAATAATTTTTAGTCTTGCTCTTCTTATATTGCAAAGGGAAATAGGATAAGGTCCTTTAACATTAGAAGCTATCAGTGAATTTTAAATGTAAACTTAGAAAAAGATTACCAGGCCTATCTTTTTTCACTAGTCTACTTTTTTCCTCATGAGGAACTACCAGGAATTAAATTTAAAGGGCAAACACTTCTACCTCTCTCATACAATGGACAGCTTGCCTAGGGTATTTGAAATGTTGAGGCCACTCTGGGGCTCCCCCTGAGGAAACAAGATGGGGAATCTGAAGTGCTGACAAAGCCCCCATAAAATACTCCCCACCCCCACTTCCCTCCAAGGCTGGTGGTGTTTAAAAGTCTGAGCCAGTCAACTCAGCTTTCACTTTTTCTGACTGTGATCCAAACAGCAATGAACTTAGAAAGCTCCCCAACCAACCAATTAAATTCACTTTTAATGAGTGAACAAAACACATGTAACTGAAAGCTGATTTCAAAATTAACCAACTGAAAAAGATAGTAGCCTGCTTGCATGGCTCAGCGGTTGGGCATCGATCTAGGGTCGAGGAGATCTGGGTTCAATTCCCAGTCAGGGCACATGCCTGGGTTGCAGGCTCAATCCCCAGCAGGAGGTGTGCAGGAGGCAGCCCATCAGTGATGACTCTCTCATCATTGATGTTTCTGTCTTTCTCTCCCTCTCCCTTCCTCTCTCTGAAATCAATAAAATTAAAATTTTAAAAATGATAGTAAAAATAAGAGCAAGATTATAATGTAAACAATTTTCTTCGCATAAAGCCAAGTCCAAACATTATTACAGTTGCTACATTTATTTTACACTCAGCTTCTGAAGTACTTAACATGAGGTACATTAGTTGGCTTGGCTGATGTAACAAAATACCATAGACCAGGCAGCTTAAACAACAAAAAATTATTTACTCACAGTTCTGGGGGCTGCAAGTCCAAGAACAAGGTCCAGAAGGGTTGGTCTCTAGTGAAGGCTTTCTGTCTGGCTTGCAGGTTTCCTTCTTGCTGTGTCTTGACAAAGCAGAGCTTTCTTTTCTCACAAGAACGCTAATCCTACTGGAGTAGGCCCCACCCTTATGACCTCATTTAACTTCAGTTACTTTCTTACTCCCAAGTACACTCACACTGGTAGTTAGAGCTTCAAGTTATGAGTTTTGAGTGGATTCAGCTTAATCCACAGCATGAGGGCTGCACTGAGAAAGCCTGAGCCAACAAAACCCACCAGAAAACGGAACCAAGGAAAAAGCCTGTGGGCTGTCTGGAGGCCCTGGAGCTACAGTTGTAATCCACCTTCACCTGTGGATGTTGCATAAAGCTGAACAGCTGTGCTTCCCAAACCCAGCTCCACTTTGGGACCTGGGAGAGCTCTTGGCAAGGAGTAAGGGGAAGGAAGGAGTAACTGGGGCCAGGTGGAGTTAAGCAGAAGTTAAGTCCCTGGAAAGATGCTGAAAGCAATGGTTTCAAAGGAATGAAAGACTGGGTAGGAGGACAAGATTATTCCCAGTTGGAGGAGAAAAGATGAAAAGTCATGTGTATGGGATATTACTCGGCAATAAAAAGGAATGAACTATTACTGATATACTGAACAACTTGAATGAATCTCAAGGACATTGTGCTGACTAAAAAAAGCCAATCTCAAAAGATTGCATACTGCCCAGCCGGGCGTGGCTCAGCAGTTAAGCATCGACCTAGGATCCAGGAGATTGGGGTTCAATTCCTGGCCAGGGCACATGCCCGGGTTGCGGGCTGCAGCCGATCAATGACTCATCATTGATGTTTCTCTCTCTCTCCCTCTCCCTTCCTCTCTTTGAAATCAATAAAGATATATTTTAAAAATTTAAAAAAAGATTGCATACTGCATGAGCCCATATATGTAACATTCTTGAAAGGATTGCATTATAGAGATGGAAATAAGGTTACTATTATCAGGGGTTAGGGATAGTGAAGGCAGGGCATTGACTATAAAGGGATATCCCAAGGGAGAACTTTGTGGTGATGGAATAGTTCTATATCTCATTTGTTTTGGTAGTTATCCAGATCTACACATGTGATAAAATGACATAGAACTAGACACACTGAACCATACTGTACCAGTGCCAGTTTCTTAGTCTTGAGATTGTGCTATAATCATGTAAGATGTAAGCATTAAGGGAAACTAGGTGAAGGGTACACAGAACATCTCTTTTATATTTTAATGCCCTGTGAATCTATATTTGTAGACTGAATGTGCCCCACCCCCCCAATTCATAGGTTGAAGCCCTAATCCCCCAATATGATGGTTATAGGAGGTAAGGCCTTTGGTAGGTAATTAGGTATAGATGATGTAATGGGGTAGGACCTCCATGATGGCCTTGATGCCCTTATAAAAGGGGGAAAAGTGATCTCTCCCTCCAAGTGAATTCACCAAGGAAAGGCCAAGCAAGAAGGTGGACATCTACAAGCCAAGAAGAGAGACCTCACCAGAAACTGACTATGCTGATACCTTGATAAACTTCCAGCCCCAAGAACTGTGAGAAATATATGTCTGTTTTTTAAGCCACCCAGTCTATGGCATTTTGTTATAGCAGCCCAAGCATACTAAGACACTATAATCATTTCAAAATAAAAAGTTTAGAAACAAAATTTAAGGCTAAATATAAGCAAATTTAAAATATATATATATATTCTGCAGAGTTACAGCAGCAAGAAAAAGATTTGTTGCTAGAATAGAAAATAAATGTGGTTAAACGGAGCAGAAACCAAGACAATTAAGATAAGGAGGGGAAGAAAAAGGACTCATTGGTGCAAGAGGTTTTAGATCCATGTGGAAGAGTTTGGGTTTATTCTTTCCCATGTGAGTTAATAAAAATTTCATGTCCTTGCTCCATGAAATGTAGCTCTTGCCCATATTTTAGCAACTGGGCTGATAAAAATTAGTTTCCATCTTGCAATATTCTGACCGTAAGAACTTGCTTCTAGTTTCATCTGTGCGCCTCATTTTCTCTGTAACTTTTATCTAACAGCCCCCACATCCTTGAGCTCCTTTTTCTGCAAAAATCAAAGGCAATATTTCTGAGAAACTTCCTCTTGGGAAATATACCTAATGTTGTGAAACCCAGGAGCAATGGGTCCTCTGGAAAAGCTGAACAATGCAGCATTTAGTGGCATCTGCTGCACCAGCAGTGTAGGTGCCCAACTATCCCCTTTAGCCTCCATGGCACATGGATGCGTGTAACACACTGAGCAACTGCACATCAGAGGAGGCTGCACTCCATCAAGAACTACAGCTGTGCCCTGGCCGGTATTGCTCAGTGGTTAGAGTGTTGGCCTGTACACCAAAGGGTCAAGGGCACATACCTGGGCTGCAGGTTCAATCCCCAGCCCTGGTCTGGGCACATGCAGGAGGCAAACAATCGATGTGTCTCTCTCACATCAATGTCTTTGTCTCTCTCTCTCTCCCTCCCTCCCTCCCTTCTATTCTCTCTAAAAATCAATGGAAAAATATCCTCGGGTAAGGATTAACAACAACAAAAAAGAATTACAGCTGGAACACTGCAGCACAGTTGACTATTGCCAAAGACATGCCTCTTTCTTCCCCATTTATTCACCCAGGATGTCCTGTCCATTTGTTTGGAAAAATGATGGAAAACTAATGATCTTAAACAGAAATGCCTCTCCTTTTTATAGAAAAGTGTATCTGAGGAGTGGACAGAGAGAGAGAGAAGATTCCAGTGTCAGGTGCTAAGCACGGGGAGGGCCTTCCTCAGCAGCCCAGCACCGCTTTCTTACCTAGACAGTTGAATAAATTTAAACAAACTCTAGCTACATCCTGGCCATTTATGTAAGCAGTGTACTATTTCCTATCAATGTAAACCACCCTTTTGACAGCTTTTATGAACAAAAGCAAGAATTTCTACATGAACATTTATTCCCTCGATGCAAATTCTCTAACACAGACCCAATGAACTCCCGTGAGGTCACCAGTCATCTTCAGGACAGGGAGGGGGAGGGAGTAATTTGCTGCAGGGCAGAAAAGATGCTAATTTACTCTTGTGTGCAAAACAAGAAAGAATTCTGAGTCTCGAAACTGGAGATCATATTATATTCTCATTATACATTTTATCTTTTAAAATATTTTTTAAAATTTCACAGGTACATATAACAGGCTTTTTGTCATGATCCTCTTGGTACAAATGCCACACGTTACTAGAAAAAACTAATGGAAAACCTAGTATGGTACACACTTGGCCTCCAGCAGTTACTTCTAACTTAATTCACTGAAGCATTTAATTATAACAACATGATCTAGTTTTGGGCCTTTTCTTGAGGCACTTACATCTTCTCTCTAATCTTGTTTCATCAAAATTTCCTTAAGAAGTAGAGGTCAATAATTTATTATGATCATTTCAAGGGAAGAGATATGGGGCAAGTCACTTATTCCCTCTGCTTCTAAAAAATCAATCTACTTTTCCACCTGGTGACTCACACTGGTGATTGAGTCTACAGAAAAATACGTTGCACTGTGAACTTTGTGCCTTTTCTGTATGCTGAAGATAAGAGGCTAACAGAAGATGAGGTCTGAAGACATGTAATCGGCAAAGAGAGTGGAAAGACAGCTTACTCACTTATTCAACAAGCATTTATTGACCATCTACTTTGTGTATGGCACTGTGCTAGACTCTGTAAGAAATAGAAACATAAATGGTATCTGCCCTCCAGAGTTTTCACTCTAGTAAGGATAGTCATGTATGTGTGTGCATGCATGTGTGTATGTATATGCATAGCTAATTCTCTAATAGAGGGAAGACATTCTGTGAAGCACAGACTATCCAATACCACAAATAGGAAGGGGCTGTTTATAATTTAGGCTCTATCGCTGGCTGGACCTGTGAGCAAGTTTCTTAGTGATTGTGAGCTCGGTTTCCTCAACTGACATAACAATATCTGCTGTTAGAATCTGTTTTCAAAATCAGGATGATGTAGCTAAGGCATCTAGCCCAGTGCCTGACTCTAATTAACCATATGACAATGGATATGACTTGAAAAGGAGGGAGAGCTCGCTGTGAGTAGAGGTGATCAAAGAAGATTCACAAAGAAGAGGGGGTGTAAGATGAACCTGAAAGGTGGGTCAGGATTTAAAGATGAGGAAAAGGAAATGGGAGCAGAATGTGGGGGAGGCATCCTTTCAAGATGGAAGTGTCATTAGCAAAGGTCAGAGGTAAGAAAGGCAGGTGGCATATTCCATGAGCAGACTTGTCTAGACAGTAGAGAGGGTTGCAATGGGAATCGAAGGATGTGTGTTGGCATCTGGCTACAGAGAGCCTGGAACGCCTGCCCAGGGGCTCAGAGGACTTTGGGACTCACAGAAGTGTAGATCCCCTTGCTTCACCCTGCATTTTACAGGTAAGGAAACTGAGACTCAGAAAATTTGCCCAAGGCCATGTGGGTAGTCAGCCTCTTAGGATGAGAGTCTCATGTTATTTCCACTGTGCAGTGGTTTTCTAATGAGATGCTTTGGAACTCAAGTTTCCATTGAGAGGCCTCAGTGACCAACTCATGGCAAGGGGAGAGGAAGTAGGACCATGCCCATGACTGACCACTTGCACACACTGGAGTGGTTGCATGAGCATTTCACTTAGATTGCTAAAAAGACTCTCCTAATTTTAAATAAAGAAAGAAATCTCCACTTTGCTACTTTGTTTATTTTATTTTTATTTTTAAATTTTTGATAGAGTAGAGCCTTTGAAGCTTTTCAAGTAGAAGGTAACACAAGTAAAGCAGTGTTTTAAAACACAGACTGGCTATTCTTATAAGAGGTAAAAACAAGAGATACCTGCAATTTAAGTGTGAATGGAGGTCAGGTTCTGCCAGAACCTCATGGAAAATACTGCATTTCACCATGGGTTCTGTTTAAGACCCAGGGCCTCCTATGACACCCTCCAACTAGCAATTACTTTATAAATAAACATCTAGCTGATGTAAGAGGGGGATGACAATTCCGGACACACAGGGGAACGATGACTTTTCTAGTTTCATGTCTGGACCCTCCTGTTCCTTAATGCCCTTGACGTGTTTGTTTAAGTTTGAAGAGTTTCCAGGTTTCTTTCCTGTCCTGGCCAATGTTCATTTTGACTTCATGGGGGAAAGTAACAGGAGAAGGGACAGAAGAGGAAAATATCTATGTAACAAGTCAGAGATGAGGAAAGAGGATTTGAATGATTGCTCATCCAGCAGATTTGCAGAATTCAAGAGTGATTCTAGATAATCAGTCGTTTCTCCAAAGCTGCTTAGTTTACTAGGGACTAGGTTACATTATACCAATATAACGAGGCTGTAATTCCAAAAAGACAGCTTTGTAAGAAATCAAACTCGATTAATGGGCAATCAGCCAAACAATAAATAAATTGATCACTTATTCTATGTTGTTGGATTTTACAGACCAGGAAGCAGTGCACGTGTGTGTATGTGTATGTGTGTGTGTATTGTTATTTCATTTAACCCTCAGAATGGCCCTGTGAGGAAGACACTTCACTCACTTTACAGGTGACAAAACTTGCCAGAGGTCCTGTAAATAACACAGGGTAAAGCTAATTTCAAACCAGGTCTATACAACTCAAAAAATAGCATTTCTAGGGAGTAAGGAAGGAAAATCTCAGACTCCAGAATATTCAAAAGGCTTGTTTCGGGGGAGCGTGTTGCCACCAGTTGACTTGAGTCAACAGTTATTAACGGTAAGTGAAAAAAATAAGGTTAGAAAAGCAAGTGCCAAAAAGCTAGGCCTTTATCTTTGTGAAGTCAAATTCATGTGACTCATACACTAAGAAATGCCACCTCCATCTGAGGCTAATTGGTGCATCCCTCGGGAAGTAATTGCTCCCTTTCTGCTCCTTTTCAGCTCTTTGTGAGGGAACCTGAAAAAAGGCTGGGAGTAAGGGGAAACATCCGCCAGCACCCATTGTTTCAGGAGATCAATTGGGAAGAGCTTGAAAGAAAAGAGATTGATCCACCGTTCAGGCCTAAAGTGGTAAGGAGACACCCTGGAGCAGGGATGGGTACCACCTGGTTCCAGCCATTCTCCCTCTACTCCCAAGCTGCCTGCCTGTCCCCTTGAGGGTGGGAGAAGACTGACTCTCAGTTATGCTTCAAACATAAGGGTTACTTTTGAGAATCTTAGAAAGCTGAATTGTACACCATACTGAACAGAATTTATGAATAAGTGTTTGTTTTTACATTTTCTCTCTTTCTTTGTCATGAGCACCAAATGGACCAGGTGGCTTGAGGAGAGCTTGTCCCAATCTTTGTTGTCTTGGAAGACAGCCCAAGATGTTTAGTAATAAAATTAATGTGGATGGGAGAGCCAGTGGCAGTGAAGGAAGTTGATAAAAGAACAGGAATATATAATCTGCAAAACTCCTTCCTTCTACTCTCAC